GATAAAAGAGTGTCACCGATACTCAAAGGTAAATTCTATAAAGCAGTGGTTAGACCGACCATGATGTATGGGGCTGAGTGTTGGCCTGTTAAGAACTCACATATCCAGAGGATGAGAGTAGCAGAAATGAGGATGTTGAGGTAGATGTGCGGGCACACTAGGATGGATAAGATTAGGAATGATGATATTCGGGAGAAGGTGCACGTGGCTCCCATTCATGACAAGATGCGGGAAGTGAGGCTCAGATGGTTCGGGCATGTTCAGAGGAGAAGCCCAGATGCTCCGGTAAGGAGATGTGAGCGGCTGGTAATGGAGGGCACGAAAAGAGGTAGAGGGCGGCCTAAGAAGTATTGGTAAGAGGTGATTAGTCGGGATATGGCGAGGCTTCAGATTTCCGAGGACATGACACTTGATAGGAAGATGTGGAGGTCGAGTATTAGGGTTGTAGGTTAGGAGGTAATTGAATATTTCCTTACTTCGTACCATTATGAGACCAGTCTGTTAGGGTTTGTGTTAAAGATAACTAGTGGCAATGTGGTGTCTTACTATTTCACTTTTCAGTGCAGGACCTATTTATCAGCTATCGCTTTTGCTTGGCATCTTTCTTCTGGGTTTCATGTTGTTCCTATTTTTCCTATGATTTCTGTGGTAATACTAATATTGTCTCCATTTGTCTTTTTATTTTCTTGAGTCGAGGGTCTTTCGGAAATAGTCTCTCTACTCCTTCGAGGTAGGGGTAAGGTCTGCGTACACACTACCCTCCCCAGACCCCATTAGTGAGATTCTACTGGGTTGTTGTTGTCTTTTTAAAATTCCGCTTCACTTCAAAAAAGTGAGCGTTTCGCTTCTCGCTTCACACTTTAAGCGAAAAGGGGCTTGTCGCTTTTTCTCGCTTCACGCTCTTCACAACACTGTGTTACACATCGTATTGGAGCGGGGTGGATGAAATGGAGATTAGCATCCAGTATGTTATGTGACAAGAATGTACCTTTGAGACTTAAAGGTAAGTTCTATAGAGTGGTGGTTAGACCGACTATGTTGTATGAGGCACAGTGTTAGCCTGTCAAGAAATTCCACATCTAGAAAATGAAAGTGGCAGAAATGAGAATGTTGAGATGGATGTGTGGGCATACCAGGAGAGATAAGATTAGGAATGAAGATATTAGGAACAATGTGAGAGTGGCCACCCTGGAGGACAAGATGCGAGAAGTGAGGTTAAGATGATTTGGGCATGTGAAGTAGGCCAAAGAAGTTGTGGGAGGAGGTGATTAGGCAGGGCATGGCAAAACTACAGCTAACCGAGGACATAACCCTTAATAGAAGAGTGTCGAGATCGAGGATTAGCATAGAGGATTAGTAGGTTACTAAGCGTTTTTCTTATCCATATCGGTAATATTTGTATTGCTCTAGCATTCATTTAGGCCTAGTTATTACTATATGTTGTTCTGTTTCTTACTCCTATTCACTTTATTGTCTCTTTCGCTTCGGTTTATCTATCGCTTCGGTTTATCTAACATTGTGTTGTTGATAATGCTTGCTGCTATTGCTTCTTTCTCATATTTTATTGTGTCGAAGATCAATCGGAAACAACTGTTCTACCTTCACGAAGATAGGGGTAAGGTATGCGTACATCCTATACTGCCCAGACCCCACTTGTGGGATTCTCACTGAGTTTGTTGTTATTGTTGTTGTTGTTGTAATAAATCAATTAAATATGTATAAAATAATTTTAAAAACACTAAAAAGGAAAAACAATATAGCTTCAGAATTGATGAAAATACTAGTCCAAATTCAATTCATAATCTCGAAGAGTACTATTAACTTGAAAATACTAAGTGGGCGTTTGGACATAAGAATTTTAAAATTCCAAAAAAAAGTGAAAAAAAATTTCAAGTGAAAATGGTATTTGAAAATTAGAGTTGTGTTTGGACAGTTGTGTTTGGGTTGTTTTTGAAGTTTTGTGAGTAATCTGAACGAAAATTTTGAAAAACAGATTTTTGGAGTTTTTCAAAATTTCAAAAAATTACAAAATGAATCTTCAAGTGAAAATTGAAAATTTTATGAACAAACGCTTATTTTGGAAAAAAGTGAAAATTTTTTGAAAAAAAGGAAAAAATTTCTTATGTCCAAACGGGCTCTAAATCTCACAATCTACCTTAACATTTTTCTAGCTTCAAACTCTAACCCTAACGAAAAACATTATTCAACCGACAAGCACCTAAATTAGAAAAATACAAAAGGTATAAAGCGAGAAACTTAATCCGATCTAAATTTACAGCTTAACTAACAATCACTGCAGTAAGAAAACGGAAGAGATATTTACTATTGACCTTCTTTTCGACGGTGGTGTGAGCAGGAAGAGTAAATTGTTGATTAGGCTGAAGGCCTTCGCGGCGTTTCTTCTGCAAGTTCTCCTCTCTCTTATTCTTACGAATCTCAACCATGTTATCCTCTCTCCTCCGCCGACCTTCTTCCGCGTCCACCGCTACTTTATACCGGTTCCGACGAACCTCGGTTCTCGCGTTCGGCCTCAACGACATCCTCGATGAATTCAAATGAAAACCCTAGCAGATAGAGAGGAATATGTGTATATAGATACACACAGCAAAAGTGTATAGAGAGGAGAACTTATATATCTACAGGAGAGGAGAGGGGATGGCGAAGGGTTTTGATTTTGAGAGAGAGGAGAAAAAGGAGGCTTTTATATAAAATACAAAAAGGTTTTATGGGATGTTAGCAAAATGGACATGGATCGGGAGTTATTTACGGATTAAGGACTGATATTTGAATTTTGAAGATGAGGGAAACCTGAATCTGAATACTCGCCCCCGAAAAAGGAGAACGATTGGACGGTGTCGTTAAACTTATAGAACTACGTAAATACGTTGTCGGTTTTGAGTAGTTCCGGGCGGAGAGTGGTTTTAGGGGTGGGCATAAAATCAGAAAAATCAGAACGGATCGAATTAATTCGGTATCAGTTATTCGGTATTAATTCGGTATCATTTTTGTAAAAGTTTGGTACATCGGTACAATTCTCGGTATTGAACTTTTAATACTTAGGTAATAGCGAAATATTTAAGTAGCTCACCCGTACTTCCGAGCCCACGTTTTCAAATTCCCATCCCAAATCCAACTTGTTACAACTTACCCTAGCCCAGTAAGACTAAGCTCAGTCCCTAGGTCTCAGATTTCCCTTACTCAATTACTCCCTTTTTTCCTTATTTCTAATGGTAGGACCTATGTTTCTCTCAAAAAAATAGCTGATGCGAGTTGCGACTGCCGATTTTGCGATAGAGACAATTTTAAGTTTCAACTTTCACAACCTCGAGGACATGACTTTCTCCTCGGTGACTATTCCTCATTCTTTAATCTTCAATTCTTTAACAGGTTTGGTATTATCTTGTACTGTAGTCATAAATCAACATAGATGCATGCAATGATGCTCTTCTGTAATAATTAATAAACATTCAAAATTAAAGGAAAAGAGAAAAATTCACAGTATCATGCTTTGCAGATAGATACAAAGAGAAAAAGTGTAATCTCCTTTTTTCTTTCCTTCAAGAATAAATAGGGAGAATATTTGTAGTAACACTTCTTTTAAAAGAAATCAAGCCGAAGCGAGACAGATAGATGATCTAAGTCTAACCATCTCGTTGTATAGGGGTAAAATATGATATGACACGTGGCTGACTAAAAGGAGGACACGTGGAATCCAAGATGAGATAGCTGAGGACGGAACGCAGCCACTCTGCTTGTCACCGGAAAGGATAACGTTCATAAAGGTGTATTAAATGCTATGCGTCCAGTAGCATTTACTAAGGAATATTCTGCAGTATTAAGAGCGACGGTCCGTTACAGATAATTTGGCATTTATGTTCACCGTTACATCTTCATCAATGACCCTCATAATTGACATTAAATGAGGGCACGATCCTAGGACTTTTTTCCCTAGACATAGTTATAAATAGTGAGCTCAGTTACCATTGTAAAGGACACGATTTCTCTGGCTAAACTTACATTCTATTCTATACAAAATTTTATACAATTTTACTTATTGCTTTTTAATCTCATCATGACTATGTCCGAAAACCGTATTCACTGAATCACCATTTTTTGCTATTTCACCTACATTCTAAGGCTAAGTATTGTATATTTCTTCTATTATTGTATTATTTCAGGATCAAATTAGTTCACCTGTCTAGAAATCACGTATAAATTCAACTGTACCATTTTACGGGTAACACAATTTGGCGCCCACCGTGGGACCTAGACAGCTGTGCAATTAAATTGATCCTTGCTTTTTTTACTAACGTATTTTGATTATTTTGTCTTAGAAAAAAATCACAAAAAAATGACAGATAACACCGTTAACGATGGACATAACCTTGAAATTTGAGGGGATCAGCCTCATTTCGAGGATTCAATCAGTGACACCCGCAATGAGGAGAATGACGCCACGCGCGGTGCATGACAGACGGTACCCTCGACAGGTTCGGGAGTCTACTCCCGATGATGCTGATGAGGAGCATGTAGCGGATGCTCTGAGGGTCCTGCAAGAGCAACAAGCAATCATTCTAGGCCATCTCATGCGGCAAGATCAAGTTATGACAAAATTGAAGCAGGCACTATTGGGGGCCTTGAATTATGCGAACATACGAGATCCAATTCCTCCCGTAATTCCCGCAGACCAAACAACGCAGAGAGTCGACAACAACACTCCCAGGGGTGAAGTTGGCTCCGACGGGGCTGGAGGAAGCAGATCAGGTCATAACAACGAGAACGATTCATTCAAAGATGAGCTTTTACAGTTCATGAGGGAAGTAAACGCCCGCATGGATCAAATCTCGGGCACCACCAGTATTGAAAGGCCCGAACTCGAAGAAGTATGTTCAATTACCGTACAAGCCAAGTGTAACACCAGAATTAATCCCGAAACGTTTCAAAATACCTGAAGTTCCAAAGTATTATGGAACTTCAGACCCACAGGAACATATTACCACCCACACAACGGCGGTAAAAGGAAATGATCTAGCACCTCACAAATTTGTATCTCTGTGGTTAAAAAAATTTTGCGAAACTCTCACAAGGGGAGTCCTAACGTAGTATTCATTACTGCCCGAGCATTCCGTAGATTCTTTTGAGATGCTCGCAGATTTTTTCATTAAAGCTTATGTCGGGGCCAGAAAGGTGCAAGCCTGGAAGGCCGACATATTCAGAATCACACAAGGAGAATCTGAATTTTTACGAGAGTTTGTTACCCAATTCCATAAAGAAAGAATATTGCTCCCGGCCGTCCCGGATGAATGGACAGTTGAAGCATTCACCAAAGGATTAAAGTCAAGAAGTTCAGACGCTTCTCGTAAGCTGAAGGAGAGCATGCTTGAGTTTAATGATCAACACAACAATGCAAAAGGTAATTAATGAATACGAGGAACTCAAAAGATCATTACGTTAGTAAAGATGAAATGCTTTATAAGATAAGAATATCACAAGCTTAAACAATCATGAATGCAACAGAACAACCAACATACTGAATGCACATTAACAGCCCAACATAACAAATCAAATTTTCAGCTGAGAAAAAAGAAACGGCAAGCATTAAATGAGCAAACCATCAGCATGCTCAATTGCAAGTACAATCAAAAAATAATTGAACCGATACACCAATTATGTACCATGTACACACTCACACGTTAGTTTTTTTTATTATATATAGATAAAGATTCAATTATAATTTGTTCGGAAGAAAGATACAATCTATATATAATAAAAGGAGAGGCAAAAGCATAATATTAAGACAAGTGGCATAACCACAAAAAGCCAAGTGGCATTAGGACAAAACAAACTACCTTTCTAACTAAAAAACCTTTTGAATTTTAAACTTTGAATTAATTGGTTTGTTACTCTATTTGAATTAATAAATATGCATATCTTATAATTAGCTATAATAAAAAATAAATCTATATATAATAAAAGGAGAGGCAAAAGCATAATATTAAGACAAGTGGCATAACCACAAAAAACCAAGTGGCATTAGGACAAAACAAACTACCTTTCTAACTAAAAAACCTTTTGAATTTTAAACTTTGAATTAATTGGTTTGTTACTCTATTTGAATTAATAAATATGCATATCTTATAATTAGCTATAATAAAAAATAAATCTATATATAATAAAAGGAGAGGCAAAAGCATAATATTAAGACAAGTGGCATAACCACAAAAAACCAAGTGGCATTAGGACAAAACAAACTACCTTTCTAACTAAAAAACCTTTTGAATTTTAAACTTTGAATTAATTGGTTTGTTACTCTATTTGAATTAATAAATATGCATATCTTATAATTAGCTATAATAAAAAATAAATATATATAATAAAAAAATAAATTCCCATTCAAAGTGGGGAATAGTTTCAAGTTGAAGTTTTAAAATTATATTAAAATAAAAAAATCAAAAATAAGAAAAAAAATAAAATTAGCTATAATAAAAAAACGAAAATATATAATAAAAAAACCTACCCATTCACATTGGGGAGTAGTTTCAAGTTGGAGTTTTAAAAATATTTTAAAATAAAAAACAAAAATAAACAAAAACCTTTAATTCAAATTGGGGAGTAGTTTCAAGTTGGAGTTTTAAAATTATTTTAAAATAAAAAAAATAAAAAATAAAAAACTTTCAATTCAATTTGGAGAGTAGTTTCTTCCTAATATAGTAGTCTATATAAATAATTATTTTATTTTATATATATAAAAAAGAAGTAAATAATTAAATGATGCCAAGTGGTATAACCATAAGACGGCAAGTGTAGATTTTTAGGACAAAGCTCCAACAAAGTTGGAGTTTTAAAATTATTTTAAAATAAAAAATAAAATAAAAAAATAGAAATTGCCAATTCAAATTGGGAATTAGTTTCAAGTTGGAGTTTTAAGACAAAATAAACTTCTTTTCTAACTAAAAAACCCTTTTAAATTTTAAATTTTGAATTAATTGGTTATTCTATTTGAATGATATAAATATAGGTATCTTATAATTAGCTATAATAAAAAATAAAAATATAAAAATCAAATACCCATTCAAATTGGGGAGTAGTTTCAAGTTGGAGTTTTAAAATTATTTATAAAAAATAAATTAGATGTAACAAAAAGAGGAAAAAATATATATTAAAAAAACTACCCAATCAACTTAGGGAGTAGTTTCAAGTTGGGGTTTCAAAATTAGTTTACAATAAAAAATGAAATTAAAAATAAAATAAAATTACCAATACAAATTGGGGAGTAGTTTCAAGTTGGAGTTTTAAGACAAAATATACTACATTACTAACTAAAAAACCTTTTGAATTTTTAAATTTTAAATTAATTGGTTACTCTATTTGAATTAAAAAATATAGATATCTTATAATTAGCTACAATAAGAAAAAGAAAAAAATACCCATTCAAATTGGGGAGTAGTTTCAAGTTGAAGTTATAGAATTTTTTTTTAAAAAAAAAGCCAATTCAAATTGGGGAATAGTTTTTACTTGGAATTTTAAAATTATTTTAAAATAATTAAAACGAAAATAAAGAAATAAAAACAACTTTCAATTCAAATCAGGGAGTAGTTTTTTCCTAATATAGTAGTCTCTCTCTCTCTCTCTCTCNCTGAAAAGATGGGGATAAAGATAATTTTATGATATGTATAGACTTAATTA